AAAAATAAATAAAAAATATTTGTGTATGTTCTTTCGTAGAAAGCTTTCTTTTTCAATGAAAAAAGTTGTTCTAAAAGTATAATCAAAAAAGCTTTGAAAGGTCATAGTCCGGGTATTCTTGATATTTCTCGGTTTTCCCCAAGGACTTAGGCCAGAAAATACCTAAAGCGTGCCCTTTTCAATGTCTGAGCAGGAATTAACCCCACGAAGCGCTCAAATTGTTATTTTGACACTAATCTAATACTAAGGCCATTTTTATAATATGATTTCTTTTGAGCTGTATCCACCTGCACTTGCCTTTTTCGTCTCCTGCTAACTCAGTCCAATCCAAATTTTGATTAAGTTATACATTATTCTGTCTGTCTGGAAGCTTTTTGTCGTGGTCTGTTTTTATTTTCCCAGTGCTTGTTTGTGTTTTTATGATTTTGTTGAAATTACAGATATAAATTTATTGGGTAATTATTTGTTAGTATGCTACAAAAGCTCACCCTCTCTAGCTCGCGGGAAGTTGAGAAATTTAGGGAGGGAAATACCGTTATTAATTAGTACGTGCAGCAAGTACAAACGGAGACTAGAGATGTGAGATCATTCATTTCAACTAAGCTTTTTTCTGATACTTCACTGGGAGGCAAAACCAAAATGGCCATCAAAGTAGTTTGTTTTCTATATATTTTTTTTTTACTTGTACCATTTTTAAGTTTCAAATTTGTTTGAGTGATAGTTTGAAGTGAAACAGATTTGGCTAAAATCATATCATTGTTTTATAGATATTCTGTAGTTCTATCTACAAATAATATACACAGCCATTATTGTCAGGTCGATAACTAGTCTTGTAACGTTTGACTTCTTTTTCTAGGGGGGCTGGAACTTCATGCCTAGACCAAAATTATGCTGTACTATACTAAAAAAAATTTAAAGGAAGAACGGCACATCCGTGGCTCCTATTGGAGCAAAGACCCCATAAACGTGTCAGAGATAGGCCACAGGCCAGGACAGAAAATAACGCACCGGATTTCTCGCGACTAATCCTTTTAAATATTACAACGCAGGGCGTTATTTAGTCTAAGTCGATGTCTCGTCACCGTCGACACCCCGAAGCTCACTGGGGATACTTTCATTCAGACATCCCTTAATCCAGCCAAGAAGGACGGTCATTCAAGGCCCCTATGGGCGCCGCCATACCTCAACATGGGGCGCCAGCACAGGAAACAATAATTAAGAAGGGTTGAAATAAAATTTCATGGACTAGTTTAAGGTCTGTTAAGAAGAACGTTTTTGTAATGGACTTTGAATTACTGTTTAGTACGAAGTGGCGGTATATAGGAGTGATCATGTGTGATATAATGATAAACTAATATACAATTTGGTTTAAGGGTGTTTTCTATGAGGAAACTATGTGTGAGTCGGAAATGGCCGATTCGAAGTCTGGTTAGAAGGGTTTCCTATTTTGGAGGAAGGTCTGGAGGAGGATTACCTTTACTTATTTCTAACTCAAGGGGCTTGCTTGCTTTTGTTGCAATGATTGGACACCCGATTAAAGGCCTCAGGCTTCCCAGACTAGCTGCCCAAAGTGACGGCAGAGGTCACTGAAAGGAACACCATACAGAGGAGTACCTCTTACCATTCTCTCTTTCATTCTTACTTTTCTCTCTTATAATGGTATAAAATTAGAATATTGTTCAGTAAGAGTGAAAAAAGAGAAATTAAGCTTTCTGACAGTTGTAATAACTTGAATTTTGTTATAATCAATTTTTTTATTTCCAAATGCCTCCGATTTTTCTATAAAAATCGCAAAAATGATGGTAACTTTTAAAAGTCGAAGCCAATTTACCATAAACCCCAGAGGGGGTTAGAAACCTATAAACTACACGGAATAAAACCTACCTTGCCTTCTTCAAAAATTCTAACTAGAGCTATAAAATAAAAGTTAACAGTTTTTTTGTTGATTTCCTTTTTGCTCATCATCAGATTGAAGGACTTCTACAACCACGTCTCTCGACATGAATTGCCAAAGCGAACCCGCTGATACCTCCGCCAACGCGACGTTCCAATTAGCAGCTGATTTGTTTAATGGCGCTCAAAACGCGGAAATCATAACACAAATAAATATTATACTAGTAAATACTTAATATTATTAAATTACTATAAAAATAATAACAATTAAAATAATTAATTTAATTATTTGGATGTTTGATATTATTTATATACATATTTAAAATGGGAGGAAGATCAAAATCTGTTATATTATTAATGCATTTATCACCATGTTCAATTTTACATTTTTTAATTTCAAATTTCTCAAACCAATCTAGTTCTTTCCCTTTGTTGAAACTATGTAACACTCTTGGATTTAGATTTGAAATAAAATTATGTTTTGTTTCTTATAGACGATCCTTAAATTTCGAAAATTGGCTCGTTTAGGCAAGTGTTCTTTTAGTCTTTTTTTTATTTCTCTACCGCTTTGTCCTATATATTTAATATCACAATCCCTACAATTGAGTTGGTAAACCCCGCTTTTTGCCAAGTTGTCTACTTTGTCTTTAGGTTTTGAGAGGATGTATATAAGTGAACCCGTACTTCTAAAAGCTATGCTAAAACCTTCTTGTTTAAAAATTTTACTAACTTTTTGCGATAATTCACCAATGTATGGCAAAGAACGGAAACCTAATGATTCATTTGTGGTGGGGTGGCTGAGTCCTATTGATGATTCGTTTAAAGTTAATTTTTTTATTCTTTTAACTAGCAACCTATCAATAAATATTTCTTTTAACATAAGAAACCAGCAGCCTTTTGGGACCATGGGTGGGAAGAATACGCTGGTATCATAGTGTCTGTAGTTGTGGGTTTTCTATATGTGTCTATTTCTATTAGGGTGTTTATTATGGACAGTTTTAGGTCTAAAAAGTTCAAACAACCATCTTTGCCAATTTCCAATGTAAAAATTATATTACGGTATAGAGAATTAATTAGTTGGAGGAATTATTTGAGAGCCTCTAATGTTCCCGACCATATGCATAAAATATCGTCTACATAGCGTTTCCAGAAATGAACAGACTTAATTAATTTTTTCTATGATTTGAAAAGATTTTTTTCGAAATTATCCATGAATATTTCAGCACAAATTGGGGATAATGGAGACCCCATTTGTAAGCTTTTTATTTCGTAAAATTTATTATTGAATTTACAATAATTAGATAATAGGCATATATTTAAGAGATCTAGTATATAATTTTTTACAAATACGTTCCGCTAACACCTGATAACTATAAAAAAGAATTAAAAACTATTAAAACCTTAGCAAAAGCCGATGGGTATCAAGAAATATTTATTGATAGGTTGCTAGTTAAAAGAATAAAAAAATTAACTTTAAACGAATCATCAATAGGACTCAGCCACCCCACCACAAATGAATCATTAGGTTTCCGTTCTTTGCCATACATTGGTGAATTATCGGAAAAAGTTAGTAAAATTTTTAAACAAGAAAGTTTTAGAATAGCTTTTAGAAGTACGGGTTCACTTAAAAACATCCTCTCAAAACCTAAAGACAAAGTAGACAACTTGGCAAAAAGCGGGGTTTACCAACTCAATTGTAATGATTGTGATATTAAATATATAGGACAAAGCGGTAGAGAAATAAAAACAAGAGTAAAAGAACACTTGCCTAAATCGAGCAAATTTTCGGAATTTAAGGACCATCTAAAAGAAACAAAACATAATTTCAATTCAAATCTAAATACAAGAGTGTTACATAGTTTCAACAAAGGGAAAGAATTAGATTGGTTTGAGAAATTTGAAATTAAAAAATGTAAAATTGAACATGGTGATAAATGCATTAATAATATAACAGATTTTGATCTACCTCCCATTTTAAATATGTACATAAATAATATCAAACATCCAAATAATTAAACTAATTATTTTAATTGTTATTATTTTTATAGTAATTTAATAATATTAAGTATTTACTAGTATAATATTTATTTGTGTTATAATTTCCGCGTTTCGCACGTTCAAATTGAGCGCCATTAAAAAAATCAGCTGCTAATTGGAACGTCGCGTTGGCGGAGGTATCAGCGGGTTCACTTTGGCAATTCATGTCGAGAGACGTGGTTGTAGAAGTCCTTCAACCTGATGATGAGCAAAAAGGCTCGAAATCCGGATCGTTGCAAAACAACTTACTGTGAGTAGGAACTATCTTTTTAAAAAGGACCCCAATAAAGTTCGAAACGTTTGCGAAAAAATGAAAAAGGTGGTTTTCTAAACTACCTCGTTCTTGACCACTTCTTACGACTTCTACAAATTATGAAACAACAGGTCACTAAGGAACACACATTATCAAAAGAAGTTTGTAAGTATTTTTTAATTTAACTATGTGGGTTTTCACAAAAGAAACTACTCTTTTCGAAGAATAAATATAAAAATAAAAAATATCCTTTATTGAAAATACAAGGCATCGGAAATTATAAAAAAATTTGAGACAAATATTGTAAAAAGAATATTACAAAAAAGAACATGTCAAAAAACACAACGATTTATACAATGTATAGCATACAAAAAGAAAAACAACAATATTAAGTTATGTATACATACTATATATAAGAACTATTTATAAATCTATGTGGCAGTAAAAATAGCTTGTTATGAACTATGGCAGGACCTTAAATTAACAAAAAAAATATATATGTATATATTTACACATTGTACTCAACAATGTTTTGGCAAATGTGAAGCAAGTTGTATCCAAGATTCAAATGGAATTGGAATAAAACAACAAATTGTATAATTTCCGTCGTATTTACACAATAAAAAAATATATTTTTAGAAATACTGAATTATGATTCAGTCTTGAAATTTAGATCTAGTATTGCACCAATTCGGCAGTTTTTTTAAAAATAAAGTACAATTTCAAAAAAAAAAAATATTTGTTTTACAATTTAAAATCTACACTTTACAAAATAAATTATGGACGTTTTTGTTTTATTTACAAATTGTCAGTTGAAAACATATTTTGGCCCTAAATCGTACAAAAATAGTAATTTTTTCAAATATAAAAATGTTTATTCGATTACATTCTGTTTTCAAATATCCCAAATCACGAGACGATTTTGTATTTGTAAACTTGGACGGTTTCATCATCACAACGTTACCATTTGGCTCTGCTGAAAAAGTTCTTTGACTGAAAGGCACAGTCGTACATGTTTTTTAAATTCCTGTACACCACAGACGAGATAAAAAAGAAAAAAGTAAACAAAAACAACACAAGTTATCACAGGAATAGAATACCGTTAGCGCATAAATCTCAGATTGGCATGGTAACACTGCGCTATTGTGTACACCAAAATTTAACAAGGAACAAAAAATGTCCTTTTCTAGCAAATAAAACCAGAAAAACACAAGATTTAATACATTTCTTAAGCGTGTGTTTCGGTTTTCTTGAAATATTTGTGAATATAAATAAAAAAGTAGACTAATAAATAGTTGAGATTAACTGCTTGGAATGAGATTCTTTGCGGATTTTGAGGATGTCGTCAGTCCATTTTTCGCCTGTGCCATGTGGGTTTGATAATGTTTGGCCAAGTGGGCTTTTTGCCTGAAACTTTTCCCGCATAGGGAGCAGGTGAAGGGTTTCTCCCCCGTGTGCGTTCTTATATGGACGTTGACGGAGTACTTGTCTTTGAACCCTTTACTGCAGATGTTGCAATAGTGGAGAGATCTTTCCTTTCTGACGCCGGAGGATGAACTGCCCGCCGTCGGCGTCGTACTTTTGGAACGTTTTGTGTATTTTTTGGCCGGTTTCGTGACAAGCCCTATCAGCGGGTTGACCTGTGAGAGCTGCGACCCGGAAGGGATATACGACCTGTCGAGGCAGAACTGCTCGACCGATTCCACCACTTCTGTCTCTATCCTTTTCAACTTCTCGTAATCCTCGGGGTAAGAGACGTCCAGATGGGACAGAAACATATCTTCCATACTGTGGGCCGAGCTCGGGTTGTCCGAGTCTATTATGCTAGGGTTTTCGTAGAGGATCGGATTTTCGATGTTGATTATTTTCTCTTCCTCCTCGGGCTTGTTCTCCGGCTCTTTCTTCACTCCGTTGTACCGCACGAGTCCCTTCCCTTGGAGTGCGTTTCTCAGCAGAGAGTCGACTTCATTATTGTTCTCCTGTTTCCATTCGTTGTTGTTGTTAAAACCGGAGGAATTCGTCAACACTATCTCCGTCACGATGTTGTTGCACATTTCGTCTTTTTTCTCGTCGAAACTGTTTTCGCCGAAGTTGAACTCGGACTTGACTTCGGCGGGAAAGTTATTCGAAAAGTTGGACGGTATCACGTTTAAAAGAGAGTCTAAGTCTAAAGATGGGTTTGATAGTTTTTCTTCTTTTTCTTCTTGTTTGAACCAACCGGACTGATCCGCCCCGTTGAGGACGGTGAGCGTGTATATTGCACCGTCCGTGTTGTCCACTTTCGGACCTTGGCCCGCCTCCTGAGTCCAACAGTTCAGCTCTTCCAACATGCTGCTGTCTATCGTCGGCCAAATATCACTGCCGTAGCTGGCCATGTCGATCGTGACGTGGTTGTTGTTCGTCTCTTTAGCCTCCAGTACGTTGCCGTTCGGGTTATCCAATCCGAGGTTTTTTAGGTTTTCAGCCGGAGGGTTGACGAAATCGAAGATGTCCGACTTGGGAATGTCTTGTCTCAAACGTTCGTTGCTGATGTCCATCGTTACTTCGGCATATCCGCGTCTGAAACAGAAAAAGTACGCCATGCAATAAACCGTTTTTTTTTACTCAATGCCCACCATTTAGACCGTCTAATGATCAACAAATACTGTTCACACATGCAATCCAGGCACGCAAAGGTTCTAGAAGAAATCGTGACATTCTCGAGCAATCGCCTAAACCGTGACTACCGGCTTAAAAAAGGACCACCTTATTGCTTTCAATCTAGAAACAACGTTGAAGCTAAAAGTAATGACCTTTGTCGTAGAAAAAAAAATTAATCTTCATATCTTCCTAACATTTTCGTATAACTATTCTGCATATAATAATAAATAACAAACAATGTTATTATTACAACATAAGATAATAGTAATTTAGAAAAAGTGCTGCTGTTAACCATCTCATTACAACCACGTAATAATCAGTCTCAGTTTCAACATCGTACAAACCAATCCAAAGTTGCTTTTTCTTCAATTGTTTATTAATAACCATAGCCTTGAATTATAATTAAATGTTAATTTAAATACGAAAACGTACATCTAGTGTGATGCAACCGTAATCATTTTTATAAATACGTCAGGAAAACATGAAACGCAATGATCCTTTATTGCCAAAGTGGCAAATAAAATTGTTGAAAAGTGACGAAAAAATAACAACGTTCAACATTTTGAAAAAATGAAAAAAAAAGTACATTTAAGCTATAAAATCTACCCGAAGATTAGAGATTTCTATATTCAACAACAGTCAATTAATTTACAATTATCTCTGACTGCTATAATTTCAAAAGGCAACATGTAACTCATTTTTAAGACGTCTTTGAGTATAAATTGACAAATGACTTTTAGAAGTTTGAAATTATCTCAGTCAAAGGTGATTAAAAATTAATTGACTATTGTTGAATATAGAATGGATAGTGTAATAATTGTAGAGAGTAGGAAGGTAATAAACATATCAAATTTATAATAAAATAAAGCTAATTAATAATAATTTTAAATAATCTTACACAATTTTAAGACGTCTATACGCGGAAATTGACAAATGTCTTTTGGAAGTTTAAAATTATCTCAGTCAAACATGGTTTAAATTAATTGACTATTAAATTCACTAGTTTTCGTGATACGCTTGACCAATGAATATATATTTCAATTAATTAAGGTTTTTAGTTGAGATCAAAAAGTCAGTGTCACGAGCGGGATTCGAACCCACGACCTTCGGCTAGATACGCTGCTCTACCACTTTAGCTATAGTGACTTCGATCCACTCGGACATCAAATCCCCATCTCAACCCCACCTTTTGAATATTCCCTCCTTTTTGCCATTTTTCAAATGTCGTGTAAGCGGGTTCCCGCTCGTGACACTAACTTTTTTTTAATCTTAACTAAAACCCTTAATTAATTGAAATATATTAATTGGTCAAGCGGCCCACGAAAACTAGTGAATTTAATAAGTTAAAATGAAGTATACCTTCACTAAAGCTCTCCGTGGCCATTTCATTTGTTGCCGAGAATCAAATAGATTACACGACATTTGAAAAATAGCAAAAAGGAGGGAAAATTCAAAAAGGTGGGGTTGAGATGGGAAGTTAGTGTCCGAGTGGATCGAGGTCACGATAGCTCAAGTGGTAGAGCAGCGACGTATCAAGCCGAAGATCGTGGGTTCGAATCCCGCTCGTGACACTGACTTTTTTATCTCAACTAAAAACCTTAATTAAATGAAATAATTGATTATTGTTAAATATAGAATGGATAGTGTAATAATTGTGGACAGTATTCAAGTAGGAAGGTAATAAACATATCAAATTTATAATAAACTGATGCTAATTAAAAATTAAATGAGTCAACTTTTGTATATCTGTAAATTAACAACATATGCACATTTTTTAAAACAGAAATAAAACATGCTAAAATAAAATTATAGCAAATTCATTTGATATGCCGAAATTAAATGATCGCTAAAAAATGTGGGCGTTCGAAGAAAAAAAGTCTTACTTGAAAAATAGCAATTGTTTATTATAATTGGTTATATATTACAATTGGTTATATATAAGCAGGCAAAAAGGAATACATATTCTGAAATAATCCTCAGCTGAAGATTTTATTTTAAACCTGGCGAGAGTGGGTTTTTATAAGTTCTTTGCCGCTTGGAACGAGGGAAAGTTCTTTAAGACATGAAATACTTGAAAATCGACTTGAAAACGAGGGGATAGACTTTACATTTATCTTGGAGCATGAGACATCGCGATACTACAACGATTTAATTATTTTTTTATTGCCTCAGGAAAACTTCATCCAGCTGGGAATGTATTTTTTATCGAAAAATCACTTTCTAATAGCGTCACCCCAGTGGCCAAAGACACAGACTGCACGTACAAAACGAAATTCGTTTTCAAAGTAGGCATTAACCCAATGCAAATATTATAAATATTTGTGTAATTTATTTTTTAAATTATGCCAGAAGTGTACAGGTGGTTGTGGGAACGGCGTGGTTACCCAACGCGTTACGCAAGCCGTCCGCGAGCTCGGGTTCAGCACCCACACCAGAAAAACTAGTTTGCCATTTTAGTCCACACACAACTGCGTGCCCTGTGCAATTTGAAAAGAAAAAAATTGCAATTTCTCCACGTTAAATTCGAAACGGTCGTTTCCTTTTGACGACTGAACTTTTTAAAAACGGAAAATACCGTTGTTGTCTTTTTATAGTACAGCGTGTTTTCTTTAGTGTCTATCATGTACTTATACTATATTACGTAACAAACAGTAACAGTGTATATTCTACTGCAAAAGCTTCGAAAAATTGACAGCGTGGTTTTTAAAATTGTCCAGAACCGGTTCTGATCTGAGCAATCGATGGAATGTCCTGATAAACGTGAAATATACAGCTGCAATTTTAAACTGGATTAACACTATTAAGACAAAAAAAAAGATCACGACTTATAACGATCATAGCCGAAAAGGACCAGGATGAACAGGAATATCTGTCTAAAATACGTCATACTTGACATCAAGGAGTTTTTTTTAACTAGAATTATCAGGAACACTCTGATATAGACAGGTCTATTATGGAAAATCGTGTATTACTCAATTAAATCAATAAATAATCCAATCCAGATCATCAAATAATCATTTTATCTAAGGTATTTTTCCATCTTGGGATAAAAAATTGAATAGCACAAAGCGAGAATAAGCGTACATGGTTGTAATAAACTTCTGTCTAAAATATCGAAAATACTTAAAAGACTTTTGTCAAAACTGAAATGATCAGGAATAATCTGACATTGTCATTCTGTAAGGATGCAATTTTATGCACTTTAAACAATTTAGTCACCTAAAGAATTTTTAAAAAAATTAGAATTATCAGGAATATTATTAGATTTTTTGGGTATTCTTAACCGGAATGAATACCGACGGAGGATAATTTAAACGGTTTATTTAAGCAATGTAATAATTTTTTATTTTTTTACGAGGGTCCGCAATAGCAGAGGTTATATCAACCCTCGGGGTGCCGGTGTTTTTGAAAAAAAAGGCCCATTTGTAAGTATGTCGGGCTCGAATGCAGGGCCGATGGATTCGAACCCGGGACCTTTAACTTGCAGTGATGAGCGCCGTGTCAACGCCTAAACCGTTGCGGTCACTGACGCTCCGAATGTTATCATTAAATGCCCTATTCTCAGTCTAATGAATGCTGAATATTTTCCACCCTCTTAGGGGTTTATGTAGTCTGGTGCATTTTTTCGAACACCCCTCTGCGAATGACGCCAATATGACATTAAATTCTCAGCTGTTTCAAATCTCCCAGAAAATACCCGCCTTGTACAGAAGTGTTTCCTTCTGAAAAAGCTATGAACGTGCAATTGTTTGGCACAAATCGAAAACTGATGGACCAGGGCCTTCTGGAATTAGTCAATCCCCCGGAAAAATTGCAACAAATACAATTGTACAAAATACATTACTTATGGCATTTCCTGATAATATTCGTTGTATTTTTCGTCATGAATGACCCAAAATTGGCGAGAACAGGCCGTAAAGGTGATCAGGAACAGCTTAAAACTGTATTGAAAAATATTCGTTAATGCTTCACCGCGTATAACTTTGTCATCATGAGAATGAACTCCGGAAAAAATATATCGGTAATTTTTTTGAACACAGTATCATGTATCACAGTGGCAGACATTATTAATCGTTTTGCCATATTTGATAACTAATAAGCAATTCTTTACAGAATAATTTTTCAGAAATCGTGAGATGCGGTCTGGTGTGATGTAGGTTTCAGAAAAACATTTTCTTTATCGTGCCAACGTTTCCATCTTTATTGAGATCATCTTCAGGGCTCAAAGTGTTTGCCTTCTGTGTAATTGTTCCATGCTTGCTTGATGCTTAAAAAAATATATATATATTTTGCATTGTATAAATTCACTTTTTTCCACACCCTACATGTATTTGTTGAATGTAAACAATGTTTGTATATCCCAGGCCCTGAAGATGATCTCAATAAAGATGGAAACGTTTGCACGATAAAGAAAATGTTTTTCTGAAACCTACATCACACCAGACCGTATCTCACGATTTCTGAATAATTATCGATTAACGGTCACTAATCACCACACATCTTTACAGAATATTTCTACTAGGACTCAAATAACGTGAAAACAACCTATCAGATCAACGTTCAATCTCGGGAAAATCTGACAAAAATATTGTTCGTATAAATTCACTAGTTTTCGTGGTCCGCTTGACCAATTAACATCTTTCAATTAATTAAGGTTTTTAGTTGAGATAAAAAGTCAGTGTCACGAGCGGGATTCGAACCCACGACCTTCGGCTTGATACGCCGCTGCTCTACCACTTGAGCTATCGTGAAGTCGATCCACTCGGACACTAACTTCCCATCTCAACCCCACCTTTCGAATTTTCCCTCCTTTTTGCCATTTTTCAAAGGTCGTTTAATCTGTTTGATTCTCGGCGACAAATGAAATGGCCACGGAGAGCTTTAGTGAAGGTTTACTTCATTTTAACTTATTAAATTCACTAGTTTTCGTGGTCCGCTTGACCAATCTTTCCCATCTTTCCATTTAGTCGAAAAGGTGGGGTTGAGATGGGAAATTAGTGTCCGAGTGGGTCGATGTCACGTTAGCTCAAGTGATAGAGCAATGGCCGAAGATCAAGGGTTCGAATCCCGCTCGTGACAATGACTTTTTTATCTCAACTAAAAACCTTAATCAATTGTTCGTATAGTCGCACTTTTGACATTATCAGAAAATATTTGACATTTTGCCTTATATCTTAATAAAAGTTTCAGCGCACTTTTAACACCCTAACCATCCCTAACCACCCCAAATCAGCTGTAGCACGGTAACAATAAAATAACCAAACATCTAGACAAATAATTAAGAATCAATTTAGTTACAAATCAGACCTACTCTGTTCTTACAAGAATCGGTAATGATGGCAAATATAAAAATAGTGAAAGTAAACTCACGTTGTTATCCTTTATATAGCCTCGAAATCCTAGCTGGCTTGTTCCCTGTAACAAGAAAGGAATTGTTATTGTACTTCGTTGATATATGGCGTAGTTATTTGTTAATGCAAGGAGGATAGGAAAAAAATCTGTTCGTCATGATTTATTAAATAAAAAAGAAGAAGAAGGAGAGAAAAATCTAATATAAAGAGTAAAACCTAAAACAGTTTTAAATTTTGCCTAAAATCCAATGTAGATAATTGCTTATTTCAAATCTCAACTTGTTTTATGTATATAGGGCTTTATTTACAGATCTAGTTTGCTAGTCTATTATCGCATTATATAGAGTCCAAAGTGTCTAGCGAGGAGTATGCTCGGCTATGCAATGTATTAACGATCCTACGCCTCGAGGTAAAGGATTAACATAAATTCAAATGGGCATCGTGAATAATAACAGCGCTGCCGGCCGCCCACACATTCGAATAACGGTGCCTTATTGATAACAGGCTCAATTATAACTCTAGTCGGTCTCTATGGAAGAAATATATCACAAAGCAGAAGATAGATTTCTTTTATTGCTATTTTCCTTCCTAATTTGGTAATTGGATGAAATAGAACGGCTGGAAAGCACGACCTGGGTAATATGGACGTGGAATGGTAAAGATATGATCGTTTTGTTTACTCCAATGCTGAGGACGTGACGTCTTAAAACAACAAAAACTAAGCATCATGTATACAATATCAAACTTATGTCGTATAAAGTGCCCCTTGAATATCTGATATGTCATAGAACGAGAACAGGAGGACTAGGGAGATTAGGAAACCATCAAACCTCTGAATTTTTTTGTATTCCCCAATTTCTCTAATAAAAAAAATTGAACAGCAATGATAAAAAAATTGACTTTAACGTTTGCTAAAATTATGAAAATAAAATAGAGCCTTCAGTGGATACCGACGATTTTTCATAATAAAACGTTACATTCACTAGTTTTCGTTGTCCGCTTGACCAAAATCTTACAATTAATTAAGGTTTTTAGTTGAGATAAAAAAGTCAATGGCACGAGCGAGATTCGAACCCACGCCCCTCGGCTTGATACGCCGCTCTCTACCTCTTGAGCTATCGTGACTTCGATCCACTCGGGCACTAACTTCCCATCTCAACCCCACCTTTTGAATTTTCCCTCCTTTTTGCCATTTTTCAAATGTCCTGTAATCTATTTGATTCTCAGACGTTACTTTTTCAAAATTATCGCTTCAGATATCGAAGCGATTTTTTACGCATAACTAAATCCCTTTGTGCATAGAAAAAAATTAATCCGAGATTCCGAGCTTTAGAAATGCTTTAAATAATTTTTTGAAAGTAGGAAATGAAGTTTTCTTGTTTATTTATTCCTCGATGAATTTGCCCATCTCCTTTATTCCGAGTAAAAACTTTTGACTTTTCGGAATATTGTACTTAAAAACTGCTCTCAAAATTTTGTTAATTTCCTACTACATGAGAAATTTTGTGAAACGTATTTACAGCTGGAGTGAGCTTTAATCGGAAAAATTCGAGCCCGATCGGAATGTCGCTTTTTTGAAATTTTGTATCTTTTCACCTTTCGGCTCAAATGTCTCCAAAACCCTTCATCATATTAGTTTTTTTATACATATCAGTATTAGTTTCTCGCAAACTATTAGTTCTTCATAATATTAGACAAACAATCTTTGCGAATAGTTGTTTCAGAAAACACCCTTGAACGGAGAATTACAATTATTTTCTATGACGAGGTGTAAAATTTTGTCACAACTTTAATTTTTGTCAAAGATTCACTAATTTGTAAAATAATGCAAGTCTAATTAAGACAAAATAAAAAAGTATTGGTGTTAATAGATCCAATAGGTTTAGAGAAAATGTAAAAAATGTCAACATTTTGTTTTTCATTTCATAGCTCAAGTGGTAGAGTAGTGGCGTATCTAGTCGAAGATTGTGAGTTCGAATCCCGTTCGTGACACTGACTTTTTTGTCTCAACTAAAAACCTTAATTAATTGAAAGTTGATCAGAATATAGACACCTGTGAAAAGGTAATGCCTTTCGAAAATAAAATCAAAAGTGGAAAAGAGAAAAAAAATAGAAATCATTTCCAATATGATAAAGAAATTTGGAGAAAAGTTACAGAAAGTTGAAAAAATACAAGTTGTCACGATAAGCAATTATCTGATGGAGCTCGAATTAAACAAATGCAATTTTCGGTTTGAAAAACAGTCTCTACCTTTTAAACTATATAAGTTGTTTTTCTCGATATGATTTCTCCATAAATTTGCTGTAAAAGAAGAAATTTTAAAATTAAAACTTGTTTCATGAAACAACTTGGCTTTTTTTTGTGGCGTTGAAATAAGGAAAGTCGACGTTGTCAAATATTTGGCCGTTTCTTTTCACAAAGCCCTTCGAAGGAAACTTCAAATAGCCCAATTGCCTAAGTCAGGAAGGAACTTACTAGGACGGATTCCTCGCTAATTATGATGGGGGAGAGAATAGGGACATTCTTTTAAGAATATTCAGCATGTACTTAGGAGTAAAGTTTTGATACGGAGCAGCAGGTTACCCTTCAGCTCGAATATCAACTTTGAAACCGCTAGATAGGATTTATTACCAAGACATCAGGATTGCAACAGGGGCGTTTAGAACAAGCCCATCTCTGCAATGATGCCGGTGTCCTGCTTCCGGATCTTTTCAGGGTGGAGGCAATTAGGTTTGTTGCTAGGCTTTGGCCTCTCTATTTCTTTCAGTTTTCTATAACCCTCGCCAAGATATGTATCCGGTCCTAAGAACTAGGACGAGATCTTTGGGAATCCGTGGTACTGAAATGTTGAGATAAGGAGGTAATACCTCGGGGCAGTTGAAGGTTTTAAATGGTCATTACCCAGTGCCACAATTATCGAAGATCTGGCTTTATTAAACAAAAGAGAGACACCTCTGATGATCACCCAGAATTCTTTCGAATTTTCAATAGCTATCCCAATTAAAAAGTTGTTTACACCGATGGGTCTAAAAATGAAATTGGTGTAGGGTGTGGGATATTTGCTGACCAGTATAACGTCAACTGGTCTCTATCGAATGAGGCTAGCGTATACACAGCTGAACTTCATGGAATCAGAAGATCATTGAGCATTATAAAGGAATCGCAAGAAATTTGTAATGCCATTATTTGCTCTGATTCGAAAAGTGGTCTCGAAGCAATCAAAAATAATTTCTCGGTTGACCCGTACATCACAGAAATTTACAAATATCTCTATGAAATCAAAGGACTTAACAAACATGTGGTATTCGTTTGGGTTCCTAGTCATGTCGGCATTTCTGTAAATGAAAACACTGATCAACAGGCAAGGAACGCTGCAAACACAAAGAACAGATCAATTTCCTCTCCGCCCAGTCGTTTATGTTACAAACAATCTTTCGAGTTTATTTAAAGGAGTTAGTGAGTCCCCAGTGTTTGTTTCGAAGAGCACTTTTCAGCTTTCTCAAATTTATTGGAATTTATAATGAGATTTAGGCCTTTTTTGAAATTGTTATACCATTGAATGTTTGCTAGTGTCTGAATGAGAGTTATGCGTGCAAAAAATTTTTTCTTCTTTCGAGAATTTTCGAGGCTGTTTCACACTAGATATGGATGTACATAATTAAAAAATGGGCATAATTTAAATAAATATAATTAAAATTAAAAACTTACGATGATGGTCAGTTATGATTAAACTTATAAAAATTCATATCGTTTATTAATGAAATTTTAGGATTTGAACACGCCCTCAACAATGAATATTGCTAATCAGGCGTTGAATAAAGCAAGAACGGACGGAGCATTATAGAGACCAAAGCGATGAGAAAAATTATTCAAAAATAATATTAATCTGGTCCTATTTGAGCATTTTTTTTTTGCAAATTTCAGTAAATTTTGCAAGGTAGGTATACAATAACCACATAAAACAATGATTAATAATGATTAAAATTTTATTCCAAATACTAGTCATGTGGTCAAACAATGCAGTGCATGGTAAGCATAGTGACGTGCGATACCAGATCATATTCCATACCAGTACTCGATGCTGGTATCGAAAGAAATATTCGATACTACTCAAATATGCACAAACAATTATTCGATACTAACGAGTACTTACTCATAGGAGTAACTTGACGTTAATTCATACATGATCAACTTTCTCACTATCGACAAGTGGGCAAAATACGCTCATACGTTAAAATAAACAAAAATTTGCAGTTATTTCCACATTTTTTCTACACAAGGAAAAGCTGTCAACATATTTCAACAAAATTGATATTTAAATTTTATCGTTTTCTAGTTTTGAGAAAATTGATCAACAGGTGTTTTCTTTTCAAATGTTTGAAAAAATTAGACTATTCCCGCACAGTTTACAAGATCTAGATGATTCAGTTTTCTTAGAAAAGTAACTACATGTCTTACTTTTGGGAGGAGACATGATTAGGTATCTACCTATGAGAAGGAAGACAAACATGAAGACAAAAACATTTTAAAACGGTTTTTAGTTGAGATGAAAAGTCAATGTCACGAGCGGGATTCGAACCCACGACCTTCGGCTAGATAAGCCGCTACTCTACCACTTGAGCTATTGTGACTTCCATCCACTCAGACACTAAACTTCCTATCTCAACCCTCACCTTTTGAATTTTCCCTCCTTTTTGCCATTTTCCAAATGTCGTGTAATCTTTTTGATTCTCGGCGACAAATGAAATGGCCACGGAGAGCTTTAGTGAAGGTTTACTTCATTTTAACTTATTAAATTCACTAGTTTTCGTGGTCCGCTTGACCAATCTTTCCCATCTTTCCATTTAGTTGAAAAGGTGGGGTTGAGATGGGAAATTAGTGTCCGAGTGGGTCGATGTCACGTTAGCTCAAGTGATAGAGCAATGGCCGAAGATCATGGGTTCGAATCCCGTTCGTGACACTGACTTTTTTATCTCAACTAAAACACTAACTCCCCATCTCAACCCCACCTTTTTGAATTTTCCCTCCTTTTTGCCATTTTCAAATATCGAGTAATCTATTTG